CGCCTCCTACTTCTTTCCGAGCTCAATTGCTTGACGCATGGTCGATTTCAAAATAACGACCCAATGCTCTTTTAATCGAAGCGGTCGTTTATTTCTAGAACATTGTCAACAATTTGATGGGGGCTTGTAATAGTAGAAGGTCTTTTATTCGTAAAAATCCGTTAGTTGTAAGTAGGATCGGTATTTTGAAAGTCCTAAATGAGAGGCCAAATAACTTGCTTTTTCGCTCAATATACTGCAAGCCGCGCAATAAAGCAAGTTATTTCAAAGAAGGATAATGAAGTGTATAGATGTAGTAGAAGAAGTCGAAATAGAATAGATTTTGAAATTATATACTTTTGATATCGCAGAGCAAACTTACCGACGGTAGATGCTATCGGAATCGCTCCTGGTAGGAGCGCACGAATCCAATCGTTGTGCGATTGATGACACGGTTTTTGAGAGTCGAATCTTCCTATGCTGAAGGGGCACGGCAACCCCATTACACTTAAAAGAACTTGAAGCCGAGCGCACGACCAAGTCAAGAAGATGTGCATTTTTGCGAGCATCAAACATTAATTACTGGAGGTGAAGGCTTACCGACTGCGCTAGAGGGGATGGGCCTCAGCCATGTTGAAGTGGTACCCGCAGATGTTTCATCAGCGACAGGTGCACACATTTGCTCTCGTATAACGGGGTTACACGTACCCTGGTAACAGGGGTGTATGTCACACGAGATGTACATGGTGTAACTGCACCCAAACAAGAATACGGTGTGTGGCTAGGTAGCCAGTAGTTATGCATTTATTTAGATTTTACTATAAATATTAAGTAAAATCTATACATTTTAAATTTAGGCGGTTAACTCGCAGATAAAATTAGATAAAAATCAGTTTGAATTTAAATCGAAGAGTTAATTAGCCTTGTCTGAGCACGAGTTAATATTTTTTCGCCTATTGTGTAGGTAGCTAAAGACTTACGCTAACCAAAAGCGTGAAATATCTGTTGAAGGAGCTACGATTTCTAGAGTAAATGCCTCAACTTTGACCCGATGGACCACAAGAATCTAGACTATTCCGCTTGGAGTCGATCAAGAAATTCTTGAGCGAAAGCGATAGGCCCACTATTATATGATCCAATCTCAGGTATGGGCTAAAAATCATTTACAGCGGTATGTCTTGGAGGTAGATTTAAAACAAGAACAGTTTTTACTGTGGTTGACGGACGATTAACGAGTTGGCTGATTGACAGAGACACAAAATCCCTCACAAGGGTATATCTGTCGTTTTATGTGTCTGTCAACGTGATGATTGGAGCTGGCTAGGAGCTAAGCTTTGAAGAATCCGAAAAGGTGACACCGAGCATGCTTAACATATATCCGTGATAAAAGCACTGTTTACTCTTGGACTTGGTAGACGCATACTAATTGTAGGATGTTGTAAAAAGTGGGCAGTATGTAAAGACTAGCTTGCTTTGTGCACAATGTGAGATAAGACCGTGCAACTGCAACGCGAGCAAATACAAAATCACACGCTTGGACGTAGGACAAGGCACAATCGGCGCAATTCTCGAGGTCTGACAGTCAGCCGAAAGTGTGGCGCGCTCGTATCGACGACGGACTCAGTGTGACGGATGTTTAGATTAGAAGAAATGAAGCTTCTTTAATTATCAAAGATCAGTCGTACTGCGTCTGATAGTATAGCTCCCAGCTTTTCTTGTGTACACAGAAATATCATGAACATGTGTGGTGCTAAAGGCATTGGTCATGAGCGAGTGGGTGGGACTGAGGCCTGATAATTCAATCAAAGCGTGATAGCTTTGGAAGCAAAGCTAACGAGTTGGGAATTCTAAAAAAAAATGTTGCAGGTATTTTCAATGGCTAATTAGGTGTATCGGGCGCGCTTGAATTTTTCGTCCAGCCGTCATGGCGATAATTAACAATATTGTTTGAGACTTTCATCGCCGCAATGGCGTCGAAGTTATCAGGAGGATGTAACGACTATAATTTTCACAAAGGGCGCAACAGGGTTACACGTACCCTCGTATATAGAAGCGATCACAAAATTTGGTGTGACGACACAATGGTGCGGCTGTATCATATCAAGAAGCCACTATGTGACGGGATGCCAGTAGTTCTGCATTTTAATTAGGTTTTACTATTCAGTTAGAAAAACCTATCAATTAGATATAGGCGGCCTTGCCGCAAATAAAAAATAATTACAGTTTGGATTTTGAGCGGAAGAGTGCATTAGCTTTGGGTTAAGGTTTCGGGAGTTCTGGAATTAGCGGATTGCGATCTGCTACACTCATACTGGTTCTTATATAGACCGTAAGGTTGGTGACCTTAGCTTTAATACCTCTAAACAAAGAGCTACGGTAGCCCCCGCTGCAGAGAGTCTCTGAAGGGAGCGGCCGTGCACTTTTCTTTTGGTGAGGCCTTAGTGAGTTATGAACCTACGCCTGTCAGAAAATAGCGGCGCTCTGATTGAGCGCAAAACTTTATAGCTTCTGTGCTTGATAATTTGATAAAGTTAAGTATCTCGAGCAGAGCCGAAAAGGCAGAAGCTGCAGTGCGTCGAGGAATTGAAAAAACGACCTTCTCATGATATATCTGTAGTGAGACCAAAAGATAGCTATAAGCTATCGTCTCCTGTGCCGGGCCAGTGGGGAGGGCAAAAGACTGAGTGTGCAATCACTCGTGCCAGAGCCGGTCATGGTGAAATGCGACTGTAAGTCGCAAGTGGAGGTGCCAAGCCCCGAACTTATAGGAGGGGACTCTTTTTCGCCACACTGTGACGTGTGACGGACCCACCGTGCGGAACAGTGAAGCCTTAGGGGTATGCGTCGAGGAGATTTTTTTACTCGTAATAGGAATGACCGGAGTAGTCTTCGGAGTTGTAAGCCCTCTCTTACTACCTAAAGTATCAGATTTTATAGAGCAGGATGTTGCAAGACGAAAAAGCCATCAAACGGTCCCGGCTGATACCAGAGGCGGAACTGAGCTCGTCAGCCATGATGGGTGAATCTATCAGTCAGAACACTCACAGAGCACTGAATGCGAACAATGAAACAGCCATCCTCAATAACCATACGAATCCTTCAAGTCTTTGTTTATCACGACATGGTGACGGAAGATCCTTCACACGTGTTACTCTCGTATCATAGCGTGCGACACAAAATTGGCTTCGTTGATCCGATTTTGCTCACACGGCAATTGTTCTATTCAGGGGAATATTGCGACGCTGGTAATGCTTTCTTTCGTGCAAAGCACGATGCAGATGTGGTAGGAATGAGAAAATCTTCCCCCGTTGGCGCCAACATTTTGTGTCAGAAAAAGTAACAGTAAATAGCAAATTGTGCGTTCTTTATTAGGTTAAATGAAGACACGATTACGGTGCAAATACCGAATAATAAGTGCCGCTACAAATTCGATGCAAACCCGGTCCCACAGAAAAAAAATGTAGCATAACAGACTGCGCTTTGACTGGTGTCCTTGACCGGAATGATGGATAGTATCAACTGCACAACAATATTGTGGTAGTCGCTAGCTATGCCACGGGCGTAAAGAAATTAGAAAATTTGTACAGAGAAAAGCTTGACCCAAAGAGTATGTGCATAACAAAGCACAGAGGACGAGTTCGTGCGCGCTACCAAAGGCGATATCGCAAAATTTCTCATAAAAAGTAGCTGTCAACTTCGCTTTGCGATTTCAAGAATGTAATGTTATCGCAAATAATACTATCAGATATCTATCACTATAGAACTATCTACATTTTCCAACGTGTGGCCAGCAACCCACATGTACCATGACCGTTCGTTTACAAGGTCATATCATCTTTATCAACATCGATATTTTACTTCTTATAAGATTTAAATAACGACTAGAGTGTATTTTGAATTTCGTACGGTCGTACCATTAGCACTAAATGAGATTATGAAAGCTACAACGTTGCACACTTTCGCACTACGATGAGAATTACGGTGGGGCTCAACCCTTTCTTGCCGTTTGAAGGCAATGCGCTCTCTTCATCACCAGCATGAGTAAGAGCTATTTTTCCTGCTACTGTCAACGACTCTACGGATTCATGTTTTTTGCTAAAAATTTGAGACGTGGTGACGAAAGGCCTGCAACATGTGTCATCCCCGTATTGGTGAGTGTGTCATGAGATTGACTTGGTTTCCCGAACCGAAAATCGTATTACACGGCACTAATGCTAATTAAGGGGACGGTGCGATGTTATTGAGGCTATTTCGTGCTAAGCATTCGGTGCTTTTGGTGTGGGATAGAACTTTCATCACTCAGCGACGACTTTCTGTATCAGATAGGCTACTGGAAAGTAGCTCGTTGTGCATGCCTCAAATTAGCTTTATGCAGCGATCTTTCCGGCGTAAACGCCGATCCTCGATGGGGTGAGCGGCAGACCAGAAAGCCGACTGCGCTTTGCTCAGTGCCTTCAACTTAATTGATAAATGACCTCGGATGCTCATATGATATAGCTATATCCCACTCACTGCAGTTAGTGCTTCGACTGGGACGACATGAGAGTGCTAAATGTGCCGCAAGGATTGTCTAATACACTAGCAACGTTCCATCGTCGTCCTTAGCAGCTGTGTAGGCCCCATCGTAGCAACATACAAACCTACTTCACCGATATATTTGCTTACAGTCATACAGAGCACAATGAGTTGAAGTTGTAACGGGGTTACACGTACCCTGGTATGTAGGGGTGGGTCACACAAGATGGTGTGACCGTACAAAGGTTTGGAATACAAAAGTTGGTGTAATCACACAATGGTGTCGTTACATCGTAACAAGAAGCCACTACGTGGCGGGACTGCCAGTAGTTATGCATTTAAATAAGGTTATAAAAAATTATAAATATAAATTTAAAAATTAAAATATAACCTTAACTTACTTTTTTTATTAGGAAAACCTATAGATTTAGATATAGGCGGTCCTATCGCAGATAAAGCAAAAGAAATACAGTTTGGATGCTGAACGGAAGAGTGTATTTGCCTTGGGTTAAGATTTTGGGTACCCTTGTAGTTAGCGGTTTGCGATCGCAATGGTTTTAGTATAGAACGTAAGGTCGGTGACCTTAGCTTAGCTTCCTCAGAGCAAAGAGCTAAGGCAGCCCCGCTGCACTTGGTAGCACTTGTAGTCAATATACACCTGAGTCGTTACGACTGATTCTCTGCGAGGATGGAGCAACTATTTGCCCCTCGGCATGCAGGACGGGCTTAAAAAGTTGATGACCCTGCTTGGCCCTTAGGAAAGGACCTGAAACGATCAGCGCGCGCCTGGAGGCTTTTCAAGCTATGAAAACGCTCCGCTACAGCACGTACAGCAAATCATGTCGGCATCGATTGCGTCCATGACGCCACCATCGGCGTCGGATGACTTCTCCGGACCCAGGCTGCTCGTGGTAAGCGCTAAGACCCTAGAGGGAGATGAAGAGAATCTCCTGCTTTGGGTGATGATAAAGAGAATCTCTTGCTCTGGGTGAGGGAGGCTTAGATGACTATGTCATCTGCCATGCTCCAGACCGAGCAACAGCGCGTGGCGCTAGCTATTTCCAAAGTAATGAGTGATGACTTGATGGTATGACGTGTTCCGAGTTTCCCAGTATAACGATTAAAGAGTAAGGGATTACCAGTTAAAACTGTAGATGGTTTGAGAAGATTCCAAAAGAATTGATATCAATGCCGTAAACCTTCCATCTGTTTTCTCTATAACCGAATTGGAAGATCAAAAACACGTGGTCCAATAAGAACGCATTATGTAGACAGTTTACAAATAGATAATTAGCAGAATGATAAACAAATACTTTTCCATTTGTCACTAGCTCCACACACGCGTTACATCCAAGCTCAGTGGACGAGCGCGACAATGGGAACTTACGTGCGACACTTCGGTCGAAGCGGCGTTTTCTCCTGAACGGAGCTGAAGTTGTAGCTTTCACGAGTGTTCTCGCCGCCTAACCAGGCATACCGCGTGCGATCTCATTTCCTTCCCGCCCGACAGGACAAGAAGAACTTGGTGGACTTTGTCCAAGCATTGCGTACTCTCATTGCCTGGATGGCAACAGATCCTCTCCTGAGGCGGTCCCAGTGACCGTCTGTATGGAGGGTCTTTGCACTAGCTTGACCAGAATAAGAATCTTCCGTGTGCATCCGTCTTCTTTTCAAGAAGCGGTGAACGTGACATTGAGCGCCAAATACAGCTTTAAGTGGGTACGACTTGGTTGGAATGCACACCTCAGAGCTTGTCGAGCGGGCCTGAGTCAATAGATCTCAGTTATGCGAGGGAGAGCTTCGAGCTGCTGAGCAGCGTTTAAGCACCTGACGGTGTTTTGTCTGTGGAGACACCCGTCACATTCGGACTGGCTTTCCGTGCGCAAGGCGCGTCAAAGTACATCGAATCGACGTCTCACTTCTCACCAGTCTGGTTTGGCGCGGGGAAACGAGAACAGGGCGCCTTACTGGAGAAGAACGGAACTCTGTTGAGCCTCAAAGCGGAAGAGGGCAGCAGGACTCAGTCCGAAGAGCTCCGTGCTCTTGAACACGAAACGTGTATGCAAGCCGAGTTTGCTGGTCGTAAAAGCGACCATAAAGGGCTTTGAGAAGCCATGAAAATTCTCATCGATTCCGGGGCGTCGGGCAATTATGCTCGACGTTCTTCGATCGAAGAAGTCAGCAGTACGCTGAGGCGCTGACAGCGCGGTTTAGTGACAATGTCACTGTTCGTTTCGCGACGGGGGCTTGTGTCATTGTGCCGAGGGTCCCTGTGGAGCCCAGTGTCAAGTTTCTTGACTTCGATAGCGTGGAACGCTGCTTAGACTTAGACTTGGACTCAAGGTATGACCTTATCCTTGGTATGGCGTGGTTAAAACACAATGAGTCATGGATCGATTGGAGGTCAAAGATCTTGGTCGCTACGCGCACGTCTCCTAGTAGAGCATTGGTGAGTCATAACCCCACCTCTACTCAGAAGCAAAAGCGCTATTACTGGTTCGGGACGGATATCGGAGTATCTGAGTTAAAGTGTGTATCAGAAAATAGCCCAAAGCATGACTAGCGTGTTGAACGTGGAGTGGCACATAACCAACTGAGCACTGCCCAAGTCTCAAAGCAGTTGCTGCATGCCAAAAGTGGAATGGTTGGACGAGGTCCGAGGCACCTTGGGCAAGGCCCCATGATGCACGCGGAGTGGCGCGTTATCTTCTAAACGAAGACTGCGGAACTAGCAGCTCTTCGTAGGATGTTGTTAATAACATCAAGGCTTCGGTGGAGCAGGGAGTGGAAGCACTGGACGACGCGAGTGCGTGCTCCCACTGGTCTCGCCGAGACAAAAAACTTTGTGGAGAGGCAACGATGACGTCGTATATTTTCTGCAAGACGCCGGACGTCGACCCTGATTAAGGGTGC